CAAACATTGACATTGGACTCCTGATAGGCATTAACTGTTCTTCTGCACACCAGCCACTTGAAGTAAGGTCAGACAAGTTGTCAGATCTGTTTGCTGTTCGCTATCGACATGGTTGGACAATCAACGGCCCTATACAGGTGAAGCACAACAGAGAAGACAATACAGTGGTGTGCAATAGAATTCTTCTGCGTCCAGTCACAACAGCTAATGAGTGCTTGTCTGAAAACAGTTCTCAAGATGTTTGAACAGGACTTTAGTGAACATGGTCAAGGTAAACGACCTGGTGAATTGGGACTCTCAGTGGAGGATGAAAGATTTATGGAAATTGTTAAAGGTCAACACTGTTTCATTGATGGACATTTCCAAGTTCCACTACCTTTAAGAAGTTGGATCAGACTATGCCATACAATCGTGAGCTTGCTGTCAAGAGAGCTTTGGGTCAAAAGAAAAAGATGCTCCGTGATGACAAGTATCACAGAGATTATGTAATGTTTGTAGAATCTCTTCTCCAGAAAGAATATGCACGCAAGATCCCTCCTGCTGAACTGAACAAACAACCTGGACGTATATGGTACTTACCTCACCATGGCATTTACCATCCGAAGAAACCAACAAAGATCAGGGTGGTCTTCGATTGTAGTGCGAAATGTAAAGGTCTGGGTTTAAATGATGTACTGCTTCAGGGTCCCGACCTCACGAATTCATTGTTAGGCGTTCTTCTTAGCTTCAGAGAAAACAGCATAGCTTTCATGGGTGATATAGATGCTATGTTTCACCAGGTCAGGTTGCCAGCTGAGCATCAGGACTTCTTTCGCTTTGTTTGGTGGCCAAATGGAGATCTAGACGCAGAACTGGAGGAATACTGCATGACGGTCCAGGTCTTTGGAAGCGTCTGTCATCTCCATCTATCGCTAACTTCGCACTCAAGGCAACCGCTGACAAGGTTGAAAAGAAATATGATGAAAGTGTGACAGAAACTCTGAGAAGAAACTTTATGTAGACGATTGTCTTAAGTCTGTGGGTACTGAGGAAAACGCCATCAAACTTATCAAAGACTTTACAGTCAGCAAGCATGGAAGGCGGATTCAAACTGGCAAAGTTTGTCAGTAACAGCAAAGCAGTGGTTTTGTCTATCCCTCCTGAAGACAGATCTAAAGATATTCAAGCAATAGATATGGACTATGACAAGTTGCCTGTAGAACGAGCACTTGGATTACAGTGGCATACCGAATCGGACACATTTGAATATGCAGTTGTATTACCAGACAAAGCCTTGACAAGGCGAGGTATATTATCGACAATGTCTTCACTGTACGATCCTCTTGGACTAGTATCACCTGTGCTCCTGCCAGCCAAGAAGATATTACAGGACTTGTGTAAAGACAAATCACTTGACTGGGACGACATTGTCAGTGAAGAGAATCAGCAACTCTGGAAACAGTGGCTTGCAAACCTTCAATCTCTTCAGGTCGTTGAAAATTGATCGCTGCATGAAGCCTGATTATTTCGGCAACATTGTCTCAAAGCAGCTCTGTGTATTTTCCGATGCCAGCACAAACGGATATGGATGTTCAGCCTACATTAGGCTTTCTGACAACTGCAACAACATCCATACAGTACTTCTCATGGCAAGTCACGTTTAGCACCTATGAAAACCCAGAGTATTCCCCGACTCGAATTGGCGGCGGCTACAGTGGCGGTTAAGATCGGACGATAACCGCTATGTGAACTGGACATTGACGATGAGAATATCACCTACTTCACAGACTCAACCACAGTCCTTCACTACATCAAAGAGTGAGCACAGAAGATTTCCTGTCTTCGTAGCAAACAGGGTTAGACTGATACGAGACTTTTCTACTCCTCAGCAATGGTTCTACGTGGATTCAAACAGCAATCCAGCAGATATCGCTTCAAGAGGAAGCAGTTGTGAAGGCCTAGTGAAGTCAGCAACATGGTTTGAAGGTCCACGATTCATGAGACTACCTTATTCAGAATGGCCATCCCAGCCTGCTGACACTTTGTATGACAAAGACCACACTGAGGCCGAGGAGTGTGTCGCTATTGTGAGTGTAAAACAGTCTCAAAGTTCAAGTTGTGGTGGTTTGATGAAGCTGATAAACTACTACTCCTCTTGGTATCGCCTGAAACGAGCTGTTGCAGTCTACCAACGATTAGCCAAAATCTTGTATCAGAGAAATATGAAACGTGATATCAAATCCCTACTAACTGATCAGAAGTTCACTGTTACAGAACTGAAAGATGCTGAAACATCTATTGTGAGATTCATACAATCAGAACATTACAGGTCAGAGATAAACTACTATGACGGACTACTGCATGTTGGAGGTCGTCTATCACGAGCGCGCATATCTGAAGATATGAAGCATCCTATTCTGATCCCTTGTACCAGTCCTATCAGTATCTTGATCACCAGAGAGATTCATGAGAATTCTGGACATATTGGACGTTCACAGGTACTGTCTACTTTGAGACAGCGCTATTGGATAACGAAGGCAAATAGCACAGTCCGCAGCGTCATCAACAAATGTACAACATGTCGAAGATATAAGAGGCAGACAAGTACTCAGCTCATGTCGGACTTACCAGAGAAAAGAGTTAATCCAGCTCCTCCATTTGCATATTGTGGTGTGGATTTCTTCGCCCACATACAGTGAAAGAAGGAAGAAAAAGCGTGAAGCGCTACTGGGGCTCTCTTCACTTGTTTCACCAGTCGAAGCTATCCATATCGAAGTAGCAAATTCCTTGAGCACAGATTCTTTCATACAGGCCTTGGCGTGGTTTCATCGCAAAGAAGAGGACCTGTACAGGAAATCCATTGTGATAATGGTACAAACTTCACCGGGGCAGCAAAGAACTTGAACAATCTGTACAAGAAATGGATCAGTCTAGATTACATGAGTACTTGCTGAAAAGCAACATTTCCTGGAAGTTTAACCCACCAACAGCTAGTCACATGGGCGGCGTGTGGGAGCGACTTATACGTTCCGTGCGTACTGTTCTTAATCCCCTACCAAGCGAGAGTTTGGAGAGGCGAATAGATGATGAGTCCTACAGAACACTGCTGACTGAAGTTGAAGGTATTGTAAATTCCCGACCCTTGACAACGTCGTCTGATGATCCGCTTGATCTCCAGCCTCTAACGCCAAATCACCTCCTCATGGTGAAAACACAAGTCTTTATTCCTCCGCCTGGAACATTTCAGAGGAATGATGTCTATATGCGTCAACGTTGGAGATGTGTTCAACATTTGACCAACCTTTTCTGGACAAGGTGGAAAAATGAGTATCTCCTTACCTTACAAAAACGTCAAAAGTGGAATGCTCCGAAACGTAACTTTGAAGTAGGGAGACATTGTACTGCTGAAAGATGAGTCTTTACCCCGAACCTACTGGTCTATGGGACGCATCGTAGAAACGGAGCCTGATCAGCAAGGTTATGTCGAACTGTAACTGTGAAGAGGCGCGGGGTCTCGTTGCATGAGCCTATCCACAAGCTTGTGTTGTTGCTTGCAGGCAACCAGTGAATTTGTGTGTTTTCTGCTTGAATTTCCAGCTTTAAGGTAGTATTTAGCCTTTATTTTTGTGTTAAACATGTTATATATGTTTAAGAGGCCGAGTATGTAAAGGCTAAAACCATATTTTTTTCACTTTTGTACAAAATGCTTATTACAATCATCTATAAGCATATTTATGTTTCAAAATCATCATCTACAATCAATTACATCTCCAATAAGTTAATTCACTTCTTTAGATGAGTAAATCAAAACATTGATTCTACTCCTTATTGTAATCAAAACAAAGCACATGTCATTGTTTACAAACATGGGGTCAGCTGACCTAATTTGCATATCATCACCACCTGGTGGCTGTTTCAAATTTGTTACCTGGCTGAAGTCACTGACTCTCCATATTGGTCATGCACCTGGTCCAAGTGGGAACACAAGGTGTAAGTAACAATTTTGCTGTATCCTACCATAATGTTTTAGAAAGTGTAATGTAATGAATATCTGCTATTTTTGGTGTTGTTTATTATGTTTTTGGTAGGAAATGTGTAATTTGAAGGAAATTTCATGTGAACTGTCTATTTCTGTTATTTGCATTGTTTTCATGACTGAGCCTAGATGAAATAACGAATATGGTTCTGTAACAGTGTATAAGGCCTAAAATGAGTAAAATTATGTAAAAAAGGCTTTTTCATATCTGTATTGATATGAGTTTGTGTTTGTATAACTGAGGTTCTTTTTGTTTGTTTTTATTGTAGTTTTTGAACCTCGTCACATGTGTGGAATGAATAAATTCTGTGGCGCGAGTTTCGCATTTGTGTTCTTGCTGCTACAATTATGATTACAATGTGTCATAGGTGGAGTGCTGGTGATACGCATTCGCCGTGGAGTGCGTTAAGATTCAACAATTTAAACTGTGATGCTAATAACATGTCGTCATTGTAACAAAGATGCAATTCCAGAGCAATATTTGGCGAATCATGCTTACTGACGGGAAGATGTTGCCTTCAGGTTGCCGGGATAGTGTTAATGACTGGTGCCATAGGGGACAGGATACGCCCACGTTTTGGGTTACACCCGGTGTCATCAAAGTTTTGATGGTGATTCACAAACGCTTATCTATGAAAAAGACTAAACCGTACAATCGATTTCTTCTTGATGTGGAAAGGGTTTTGTCGATTATGTTTGAAAGCACCAGGGTCTCACAACACGGAAAACGCCTTCCATCTGCGTAAATTCTTACTTTCCTTCCACAATTAAATGTGGCTACATGATAGAAACTAAATAACGTTTCACTCTCTACATGACGAACATAGCTTTGTAATCACGAACTTGATATGTGTTTAGTTTCACGCAATCAACAAGTGGAACGCTTGACATTGTCCTATCTGAAGAGCAAAACCCCAAACATTTGCAACATTCGGAGTAAGTGACTTTGGAGTATTAAGACTGTCAAACTGATCTGGCCAGTTCGTATGTACACTGTTTCCATTGGTTACAGGGATGGAGACAAGGGCAACATCCTTGACAACCTGCTGTCCCGGATGGAGCAGTACGCCAACAACTTGGAGGCCCTGGTAGCGGAGAGGACGTCTGACTACCTGGAGGAGAAGCGGAAGGCGGAGGATCTACTGTACTCCATGCTGCCGAAGTGAGTAGACACCCGGTGTTCCACGTCGTCCACTTTGCGTTTTGTTTTTAATCCCTATGCTTATGCAGTCTTAGTACACGAGGTCATCATTATCTTTACAGTTCACCGACTTACCAGAAGTATGTCTCTGTTTATCTTAGTTTTGGTTTGTTTGTTGTTTAACGCCGCACTCAGCAATATTCCAGCTATATGGCGGCGGTCTGTAAATAAACGAGTCTTGTCCACACAATCCAGTGATCAACAGCATGAGTATCAGTCAACACAATTGAGATACGATGACATGTGTCAACCATGTCAGTGAGCCTGACCACCCGATCCCGTTAGTCGCTTCTTACGACAAGCGACGACGACGATCAATTCTAATCTTCGCGGGTTCTGTGTTAGATGCGCTGACTTGGGTGATGCTCAAGCCTGCCCGGGTTGAAATTCATCGTATCCGACGGTGAAGGACGATGCTGATAGTATCAGCCAATTGTTGTATCTGAGATAGCTGACAAATGTTGGTTGTTTGTTCCACGTTTGTCGATAGAATCTCATCCCTTGGAGACAGGTAATCATTGCGACCCCTGCCCACGTACACGGCGGATAAACCCCGGATGACCTGGTCATCAATCCCGATTGTATACCGATGATCAAACCTGATCAAATCAGTTTCCCCAGCCACACAGACGTGGGGGTGATCACAGCTGGCTTCTTGTTGTGATGCCGACCTCGTCACGACGTCGCCGACTCTCGGTATAATACAGCCAGTGTTAAAGAGAGGCTGTACCCGTCAGCCGAGGACAGTTTGCACGTAGCTGTCCACAATCCACATTGTCAGGAATCAAATGTGTATTATATTTTGCGGGCGTGGTGGGCGTGGTGGGCGAGCTGTCAAAAGTGCCAGGCTAGTGATCCAGCGAGCTGGAGGTGTGTAGGGATCGAGCCCACCTGTGACTGGGTGTAAAAACCTTGGAGTCAGCTTTGTGTGCAGATTCTTTCAGTGTTGTCACAACCCCTAGTGTTCAGTACACAACCCTGTGCACTTAAAAGAACCCACGAATCCGTTGGTATGTGACCAGATGGTGGCCACATGAATACGTGCAAACACCTAGTTGCAGGTACAGCAACGTGTAGTAAACTCAGATAAAGTACTGTGACTATGTGTCCCAGTCCACACAGCTGTGAATGGGTACCTTGTAAGGATGGAAATGCCGAAATAACTCGCCTAGTGGCTGCAAGAGTTGCATATTCCCCAGGGAGTTGAGATTGATAATACGATGTGCCGTTGAGATTGACATCCAATGATCGACGGAATAAATACCAGCGCCTTGAGCATGCACTAGTTGCGTGGATATGTGCGTTATATAAATATCCTATAATAATAATATTTTCAATATCAAAATGAAACATGACCGCGTTGATACGTGTCACTTAATCCTTAACATATGCCTTCTCCCCTGCGGATCTACATGTTCCGATAGTCTTCCATTTTGAATGGGATGCTAAAGGAAGGTGTTATGTTTAAAAGTCTATATGTCAAACTATAGTTTGGTGAAAGAGTCGCCTGACGCATACCGACTCAAATACGAAAGAGTCGCCTGAAGTATACAGCAGATTCATATACGAAAAAGTCGCCTGAAGTATACCGACTCAAATGCGAAAGAATCGCTTGAAGTATACCGACTCAAATACGAAAGAGCCGCCTGAAGTATACCGACTCAAATATGAATATTAATATTATATCTTTATATTCCTGAACCCTCCAAAGAACCCAGTACTGCATATTGACTTGTCAGCGTTAATGTGGGTTATTTGTAAAGCATCGTTGATTCTCGTCATAATGTCAAGACATGAAGGGTCTAGAGTAGCTTCAAATCTGAAGATTAACATATGGAATTTGTTTACTCAACTGCAGTTATATCTTACCCCTAAACAGGTAGGCACTGGCCATGATCACACTTAGTGATCGTACATGGTAACACGGCTCCTGTTGGCTTAGGGAAAGTGATCCAAAATAGGCTGGGCAGTAAATGTAGTTGGAGGACATCAGACATCATTACGTACACTGGCAACGTCTCAATCCTGACAAATCTGTGTGCGCTCTTCCACAAGGAGCCTATGTCGGCTGGCTACACTCAGGCAATTACATGTCAGGGACCATGGAGCTCAAGCAGAGGACTAATCCGCTCGTTCCTGTCACACAGCAAGATTTGGTCTCACATCAAACTGACAGTTCCAGACTGTAACTGTTTATCTCAACAACAACAGGGACTACAACGTCTCCAGCTAGGCGATGCACAACAGCCCCCGCATCCAGTCGATCTCTTACATATACAGTTTAATAGTCTCCAGTTCAAGAGGCTGTTTGGATTTCTTGCTGAGTACTTCGGTGTTCTTCCGCGCGTAGGAATACATACAGAAACGGTACGCGATACACTTAGTGCGGTTGTTGTGTGAAAACATCACTACCTGAGCATAAAGCGCGTTTATAAAACAGATAGATAGATACGGTGATCAAGGTAAATACCACCAGGGTATTGTCTCCTCAGGGTCGTGATAGGTCATGATGTCTGTAACTGCAACATTGTATACGGTTTTATTTATTCTTCTTCACTCTTTGTTACTGAGTATTTCCCTTTCTCTATAATGTTTTGTCTATGGTCGTCCGCGTTGGCAGCGCGCAGCATGAATTATACCTGATAAAATACAGAAAATAATTATCAATCAGTCAAATGACAGAGTTATTCCGGGAAAAAAAAGAAGAATTGACAGGTGTACAATTATCATAGAATACAATTTCAAAATGTGTTAGAAGAGCATTGGCTGCGAAGTGGGCAACCACGTAAAACAGTATCGACAGCGGAGCTGATGTTTTGTCGTTGTTGAATTCAACAAGAAACAGACACAATGAAATTTAGCAACAAAATATTACAACACAATTCAATCAGTTTTGTTATCTGGAACTGTTGGGAGACGTTTGCTTGAGAAAGGGTTCAAGCGTCGTGTTGTGAAAATACCCATATCTCCTGTACACCCTGTCACGAAGATTCGGGGCGGTGACGGTAGCAATGTGGTTGTCTAAAGCGTTCGCTCGTCACGCCTAAGCCCGGGTTTGATTCCCCACATGTGTACAATGTGTGAAGCCCTTTTCTGGTGTATCTTCCCCTTACTCACCTATGCTTAACTTACTTTGAACTTTGGACCGAAGGGGCAACTAAATTTCCTGAATTTCTCGTTAATTATGGATTTAGCTCACCCGCATCATTAATTTTCTTTCGTGAACTATTTGAATCTTTTATCAAATGGAACGTTATCTATCAATGGCGGATTATCCGCTGTGTCTTCATATCTCTCATGTATTTTCCAACTATTTTCCACAAAATAATGAATTCCCCTCTGAAACATAATCCGTTGGACACGACCCCCGGTGTCCAACATCTCGTGGCACAGATCGAAGTATATCACACCTAGTAACCAGGTAATCAGTTCCTCGTGACAATGCCTGCACATTATCTCATGGTAAAAAATGTAATCTTCCAACACTCCACAAATCACTGTAATTTATCGGATCTATAGCCATTCCCTGTGTTACTGATGAAAATGTCAGTTTCACAAGGACATCCGGGCGTTGTGACGTCATGGCCCTGGTGGTAGTCAGGGGTGAGGTGGAAGTCAATCAGTCACCGATGTCTACAGTAGGAAAACACGTTGGAGGTGGCTGCTGTCGTGTTGAAGCCAACGTTATAGACTCCAGACAAATGAATCTATTGGGTAACACTGTCAAGACTAGTTCTGAATAAAAAAATCGATATTTGCCATTTAGTTTGCCCTTAAGGGACGTGTTTCTTTCGCCAATACATTCATATTTTGTGGACAAATATTGTGTTGAGAACTGAACACATTCTAAACCATGTGTGAACATATTGTGTACTTAACGTTAACTTGAAATCAGTCATCTTACCAATCGTTAAAGATATACAATCGATGACCCCCCGTGGTCTCAAGATAACGAGATGTGATCGTAATAAAATTCTTACTTCCAGCTCGTTCCTTCTCTTGCGCAAGTATATTTGTGGACAATAGTATACGGAATAATGTCCATCAGGTTCATCCTCTAGCAACAGTGGACACAGGTGTCCAGGACGGCGCTGTACTCTGTGGTCTTATCACTCATGATTATCACTGAAACTGCCCAGGTATGGGACAGTCGTAACGGTAAAGATGTATTGTACAAATGGATCAAGAGACCACAGGCGCCACAATTAGCTGTGCTACCTTGATCAACCAGAATGCGCATCTTTTATTTTTCCAATACCGCTGCAGAACGTCATATGTGATTGTATGCATTGCATTTCTCATATTTCTTCAGGTAAATCCGATAATTGTACCGTTCTGCCTCAGTATGAAACCATTGTCATGCACATGCAGTCTGCCTAGCTGTGCCTGAAAGTTACTAGCCCACAAAATAATTCACAAGCCCAAAATGTGATTGTAGAAACTAAGCAAAAGATTACAAAAAAAGCTGAGAAACAGATATTGTCGGCATGACACGGGTTTCGTAATTAAGCTGCTAATACGGTGAACATTTTTATCAGGCTTGCATGATTTGAAACTGTGTTATAACGTAACAAGCCGGAGAGCGTGATATATTTACCCAAAAAAATTAATGACCATTTGACAATTCACTAGCCAGTCAGGCCAGTGACTGTGGATATTTCACATATTTCTTCAGGTAGATCCGATAATTGTACCTTTCTGCCTCAGTATGAAGCCAATGTCATGCACATACATAAGTCTCTCTTGCAGGTCAGTTGCTGGTCAGCTGATTCGCGGCGAGTCGGTGACAGCAGAGGCGTTCGAATGCGTCACTATCTACTTCAGCGACATCGTCGGCTTCACTGCTATGTCAGCGGAGAGCACTCCTATGCAGGTATGTTACGGCGTAAAATCTAACTCTCTCACAATATCATTAATTCACCGTATAAATAGCATGAAGATATCAGCACATGTTCATTTACCTGATTGAGATGGTTATCACGAAGCTGCTGTGTTGTAAATATAAATACAAGTAAAATATTATATATGTTTCCAAGAGTCGTTGGAATAGCCCAATAGTTACAGCTTTGGAGTCAATCCAGGAACACAGGTTCATTTCACCCACATTGCCGTTAATCATACTTTTTCGTATGGATTGATACCTCCTTGTGAGGAGGATGAGTCAAACCAGCCATACTCGGTCATGAGATCTTTCTAATCTGCCAATCAGTATCGACCTTCATAGATTATTGATGCACGTGGGGATATAAGAGTAGCTTATATGCGAATATCTAATAGCATTCAACTGCCGCGACTTCCCGTCCAGTGATTGTTTATCATAACGTCAAGATCTGAGAGAGAGTTGTGTTGTGTGGAGTACAAACTTTAACATATTACTCTTGTGTATCCTTTCAGATAGTTGATTTCCTGAATGACCTGTACACGACGTTTGACTCCATCATAGAAAACTTCGACGTGTATAAGGTAGTTATTGCTTCTTCCGTCAATGTTAAATGGGCGACATTAACAAAGTGCACACCAAGTCGGCCATACGTTTGTATAACACATGGCGTCACCTGAAAATCTCATATTTCGATATTTTGTATGTTCTCCTCGAGTCAGCTTCATGCAGTTTTGTCATAACTGGGACATTCATTTACAACTAACAGTACTATTTTGGGCAACTCGACATGCACTAGAAATTTACCGAAATATTGGTTGTTGCATTGTGTCGTATATCCTGTTCATTGTATGTCTTAACAGAGGTGCTGACCCTAATTTGAGACATTTTACTAGCCTTATTTCCCAAATCATGCATTTACTTTGTATGTTTGGATTTCCTTATATGGTATGGCAATGCCCCATTCTCAGAATATGATGCAGTTCACATTTACTGTAACGGATATATAGGTAATCCTACCCAAGTGTCTCCTGATATCAATTATATCAACACGAGTTGATAACATGACACATTTTTACTTTTATCAACGGTACTACCATTAGACTTGCAGTGAAGCGATGTCATAGCATTGTTACGTCATCAAGTTCATGACGTCATAGCATTGTCAGTGCATTGTACAAAATCTTCTGTCAAAATGATATCCCCTAGGAGATATCGTTTGATCTCACACAAGCGATATATCCAGTGGAACACAGTTTTGGATGATAAAAGCTATGATCAAACTTTGTATTTACGTTCTTGCCATGCTGTCAGATGTTTCTAGCTTTTGTGTTTTCTGTACAGGTGGAGACGATAGGCGACGCCTACATGGTAGTATCGGGTATGCCAGTACCAAACGGGAACCTGCACGCCAGGGAAATCGCCAGAATGTCTCTTGCACTGCTAAATGCTATAAAACACTTCCGTATCCGCCACAGACCCGAGGAGCACCTGAAGCTACGGATAGGCATACATACAGGTACGAAGACGATAGTTTGTGAATTACTCACAGTTATATTTCGACATTAAACCGCTCGGAAACGAACATTTTCGCGCATATCTCAATTACGTCCACTGTAATATGTGTATAGTCAGAGATGAAAAGAATGTTAACATATTCAGTTTGCTCCAAAGAACGGTGTTCAAGTATCACGTGCCACCCAATCAATGTTTTTTAACGTTGATTCCGTAATAATTTACGTTCGATATAGAAAACTTCGATGTGTACAAGGTAAGTGGTCAAGACTGCATTTCTTCCGTCGATTTTGGGGTCCTGAATTAACTTATTCGCCCATACATTTATATGAATAGAAACGGCAAAACAGTTTGTACATCCATAAGTGAGTGAGTGAGTTAAGTTTTACTCCGCACTCAGCAATATTCCAGCTATATGGCGGCGGTCTGTAAATAATGGAGTCTGGATCAGACAATCCAGTGATCAACAGCATCATCATTGATCTACGCAATTGGGAACCGATGGCATGTGTCAATCAAGTCAGCGAGCCTGACCACCCGATGCCGTTAGTCGCCTCCTACTAGTCGCCTTAGTTACTGAATGTTCATTCTAACCCGGACCTTCGAAATTCACGGGTGACATCCATAAGAAATTTCTGTTCCAAGTAGAGTCGAATGTACAAATCAGACTATATCGGTTTAACGCCGCACTCAGCAGTATTACAGCTGTACGATGATGACAAAACAATAGTAATGAATATGAACAAAACATATAGTTTTACCCGAGATATTGATTTTTTAATACTGACTTTATTCTTTGGAGCGTGAGGCGTTTGGCGTCTGACTTGATTCCGTACAAGTAACTTGTATGTACCTGGACTGTGCGCGCGGCGTTAAGCAACACTGACTTACCCTTTAACACTGGATAACATGTCATTATATGATGTGTTCCAGGTGGTGTATGTGCTGGGGTGGTAGGCCTCAAGATGCCAAGGTACTGTCTGTTTGGAGACACCGTCAACACCACGTCGAGGATGGAGTCGAACGGTCTACGTAAGTCTCAGAAATGATTACTCTCGCAATGTCTAATGGTTTACGTGAGTGTTCAATAGCGTCCACTTACTCACTGTCTAATGGTCAATAGCGTCCACTTACTCACTGTTTAATGGTCGATAGCGTCCACTTACTCACTGTCTAATTATCAATAGCGTCCACTTACTGTCTAATTATCAATAGCGTCCACTTACTCACTGTCTAATTGTCAATAGCGTCCACTTACTCACTGTCTTTTGGTCAAAAGTAACCACTTACTCACTGTCTAATGGTCAATAGCGTCCACTTGCTCACTGTCTATTGGTCAATAGCATCCACTTACTCACTGTCTAATGGTGAATAACGTCCACTTGCTCACTTTCTAATTGTCAATAGCGTCCACTGAATCACTGTCTAATTGTCAATAGCGTCCACTTACCCACTGTCTAATTATCAATAGCGTCCACTTTCTCACTGCATAATGGTCAATAGCGTCCACTTGCTCACTATCTAATGGTCAATAGCGTCCACTTGCTCACTGTCTAATGGTCAATAGCGTCCACTTGCTCACTGTCTAATTGTCAATAACGTCCACTTACTCACTGTCTAATTGTCAATAGCGGCCACTTACTCACTGTCTAATTATCAATAGCGTCCACTGACTCACTGTCTAATGGTCAATAGCGTCCACTAACTCACTGTCTAATTGTCAATAGCGTCCACTTACTGACTGTCTAATTGTCAATAGTGTCCACTTACTCACTGTCTAATGGTCAATGGCAATCACTTACTCACTGTCTAATGGTCAATAGCGTCCACTTGCTCACTGTCTAATTGTCAATAACGTCCACTTACTCACTGTCTATTGGTCAATAGCAACCACTTACTCACTGTCTAATTGTCAATAACGTCCACTTACTCACTGTCTATTGGTCAATAGCAACCACTTACTCACTGTCTAATTGTCAATAGCGTCCACTTACTCACTGTCTATTTATCAATAGCGTCCACTTACTCACTGTCTAATGGTCAATAACGTCCACTTACTCACAGTCTAATGGTCAATAGCGTCCACTTACTCACTGTCTAATTGTCAATAGCGTCCACTTGCTCACTGTCTACTGGTCAATAGCAACCACTTACTCACTGTCTAATTGTCAATAGCGTCCACTTACTCACTGTCTAATTATCAATAGCGTCCACTTACTCACTGTCTAATGGTCAATAGCGTCCACTTACTCACTGTCTAATTGTCAATAGCGTCCACTGACTCACTGTCTATGTGTCAATAACGTCCACTTACTCACTGTCTAATTGTCAATAGCGTCCACTTACTCACTGTCTAATTATCAATAGCGTCCACTTAGTCACTGTCTAATTGTCAATAGCGTCCACTTACTCACTGTCTAATGGTCAATAGCGTCCACTTACTCACTGTCTAATGGTCAATAGCGTCCACTTACTCACTGTATATTGGTCAATAGCATCCACTTGCTCACTGACTAATGGTCAATAGCGTCCACTTGCTCACTGTCTATTGGTCAATAGCATCCACTTACTCACTGTCTAATGGTCAACAGCATCCACTTACTCACTGTCTAATGGTCAATAGCGTCCACTTACTCACTGTCTAATGGTCAATAGCGTCCACTTAATCACTGTCTAATGGTCAATAGCATCCACTTACTCACTGTCTATTGATCTACGTAAGTATGCAATAGCTACGTAAGTGTTCAGTAACTGCTACTTACTCACGTGTACTCATGCACTATCTAATAGTCAACATAGTTGTTCCGTAAAGTGTTTAAGTCTACTCATCCACTGTCTAACTGTCTACGTAAGTGTTCGATAAGGTATATTTACTTACATCTAGACGTTCACTGTCTAATGGTCAACGTAAGTGTTCCGTAAAGTGTTCAAGTCTACTCATTCACTGTCTAATTGTCTACGTAAGTGTTCAGTAACGTCTACTCACTCATGTCTAATTATTCACCGTCTAATAGTCAACGTAAGTGTTCAATGACGTCTGCTTACTCACGTCCTCTCATCTGCTGTCTAATGGTCTATGTAAGTATTCAGTAACCCTTCTAATTTTGTTAGTAAATGGAATAGAAATAGAACTATCGGTCCATTTAAAGTTCCATCTGCACGATGCTATCTAACTCGAAACACTCCATTGCAGCTTTGAAGATCCACTTAAGCCAACAAACCAAAGACGTGCTGGACCATTTCCGAACCTTTGAGGTGGAGCTCCGGGGACAAGTGGAGATGAAAGTAAGTGACAAATCCACACCACGCCATGTGGAACTGCCCGGAGTGCCACAGCTATAAGAACAATATCTGTGTGTACACCTCCCACAGTGCTTGGCCGGAATAACGGAGCACAAGTGTACATTTGTATATACCCACGTTAGAACATACTCCGAAGGTTGGTCGAGATTACACATAATCCACTCAGATGATGATTTCCATCAAATATTATGATTTCAGTATGAGCTAGTGTTACGTGGGGATTCCCTAATAGAGGATAACGCATAAATAGTCTACGTCGTCACTGAAAAAGCAGCAACTAATATTGAAACTAACAGTTTAGGCTTACAGCAATAAGCCCTTTTAAATAGAATTGTGAATCAGATGGTAGGATCTGTCGGGTTCGAAGGTTTTAGATCTATAAGTAGTTAGCCAGCAGTTAGCAATCCAAACGTACAAGGCATGGACTAGCTCATCAGCCGCTCTACAAGTAAAAAGGCTTTAAGAAAGTGTCCCAGCACGAAACATCTCGAACGATCAAGCTGTCCCGTGGTTGTAAACAACTAATGATGGTGACTCAAAGTGGCATGTTCTGTCACACTGTGGTCACGCATAGGTCAGTATTTTACGAACGTTTCACCCATTTACTGCTATTGTGAATCACAGAAACTCCCATCAACCTGCTCCATCGTGGTCGGCAGAGAATGCGTTAAGAGAGTCCTTCTAGCCTCATGTGAATCTTTCACAAGTTTGTTTGTTTTTTAAATCAAACTATTAGCATTGTTTAAGAACAAATAAACACATATTTGTCAGGGAAGAAGCAAGACGTTGTATTTTAGAGTGTTATACATCATGGGTGTACAAAACCGCGCCTACAGTGTATTGAACCCTTGTAAAGTGAATGCATTTGTTTTCGGTTAGACATTTTAAATGGATTTAGGTCACGTGCATTTTGTTCATTTTACAAATGAATACTAACTTCAAAAGACAGGAAATACCAGGATGTTCACAACCGATCATCGATAAGTTTTCTATTCCGTCATTATACAGCTGGACTACAGCATTAAATAACAATAACAGACAAATCAGTTTAGATCACATTCCAAGTACTGATTAAACATCGACCTGACTATTGTTTAATTTTAATTTTTAATTTATCTACGATGATGTTTCTATGTATACATCAGGAGTAAAAATCTTCCTATTAAAACGAACCAATTTATTGTGATCACATTCTCATGATCGTGATGTTGTGATTCCGTCAAACCTTTTCTATCATTCTTTGAGTGAGTGAGTTTAATTTTACGCCGCACCCAGTAATTTTCCCGCTGTATGTCTGTAAATACTCTGGAGTCTGGACCAGGCAATCGAGTGATCAACAGCATGAGCATTGATCTATGCAATTGGGATGCGATGACATGTGTCAACCAAGTCAGCGAGCTTGACCATCCGTTAGTCGCCTCTTACGACAAACATATTATTCTTTGATAATTTGAAGCATGATAAGTAAGATATTTGTTTTGATGGTAATAAGGTTCTGCCATGCATGACTGTGTTATCTGTTCCAGGGGAAGGGAGCACAGACAACCTACTGGCTGGTTGGGGAGACGCCAACATCCTCATCCTCCTGACCTGCATCCCATCGTTAGAGCCACTGTTACATACCATGTTCTCTATAGCGCTGCGTTCACACTCAAGGAGACTCCGCTGTGGGCAATGGTTTGAAACCTCAAGGATCATGTTTAAGTTGGTACTGGGTATTTCAGAAACAGATGGTATTACACGGAACTACCATATGATAAATGGCGATTGGATGAACTACCATAGACAGCATTGGGTAGTAGTTAATTATCATGGATGCACTGGGTAGTGCTGAAGTACCTTTACTGACATTGGGTAGGGGTGAACTACCGTGGCTGGCACTGGGTAGTGCTAAGCTACCTTTAGTGGCATTGGGTAGTGTGGAACTACCTTTAGTGGCATTGGGTAGTTGTGAACTACCATGAATGGAATCGGGTAGTTCTGAACTGCCTTTAGTGACATTGCGAAGTGTTGAAATACCATGCATGATATTAGTTTGTGCTTACAATACCATGGAATACATTGCACAGAGCTGTGGTGGAACGTGATGTTTTTCTTCTTTGTGAAGCATCCATGTTTGATCTTTCTCTGGATCCACCACGTGGACCGATATGGCTGTGACTGACGAAGTACTTTATACATAGCCGGTGATACGTGTGGCCACTACGCTGAAATCAGCAGTTCTCGAACGAAGACAGAGTGTATGTTGTGACTTCACCAGGGATGGAAATGTCCGTATGGAACGAATGGAGTATGTCCTACTGAAGTGATCTCAACGATCAGCAGGAAACCTAGTTGGATCGTTGGAAACTGTATTTGGTTATTTTCATACAATTCTGTCGCGTGTTTTCAAGTTGGTTATTCTGGACCACCTTGACTGAATATTACGGGTTTGCCACGGCTTACTGTAATGATCATGGCTTTAGTATGTATTTGGTTCAAACAGCCGAAAGACGCGGTACAGGAAACCATGTATCAGTTTGTTGAGACGAAACAAACAATAACATACCGAGTCATTTCGTAGGAAAATACACTGGCTCAACATAATATTAAACTCCTCTCAAAGAACAGGAAATGTGTTGATCACATGCGTATGAAGGACTCATGAATGACAACGGGCAGTGTGCTAAAGATCTGAAGAGAATGTATCAAGCTTATGCTGAACAACGGACAGTGTGCTAAAGATCTGAAGAGAATGTATCAAGCATATGCTGAACAACGGACTATGATTGACATCGTGTATTTCCTAACTGACTAATAGCTGAACGAGGGGAAAACATAACTAACTGATAATGTTACAAGGACGGCGGTCATATGCTGACATCTTGTTAGATCAGTCAAATTGCGATGTGAGTTGTCAAATCGTGGAACCCTTTGGTTACCATAGTGAAGATGCCCCAAATGGATGTATCATTTGGTGGTACAAAGCTGTGAATGTTTGGATACAGATCTGTGTGTGAACATTGACGGATAACAATTGTTGGTTGTATATCTGGACACTGTCAATATTTCTTTATGTGATAACCATGGCACAAAGAATGAGTTTAAATGGTTTCACCAACTCTATACGATGACTTGAGGGTACATGGACCATTCAAGCGGAACCGTACTTATCCTTCCACTTCATAGACAACTTGTTGGAGAATCAACAGTCATGTGGAGAAATACGTCATTGATATGGGTTTTCACTGTGTTTATCTATCTGACACCAAGCTTGGTCTTGACGTCACCATGTGTTGTTGTGCTGACTGTCAAAATGTGCAAACTTCATTCATATATTCTCTGTGTTTCGTATTACAATGGCTGTGATTCATCTACTTGTTTCAGAATACGTCTGGTTTATCAGATCAAGATTCTTACTACTATATCAATTTTACCCATGTTAGTAGTTTTTGTCAACGTTTAGCGAATTGTAAGGATGTTCAACCACTTTGACTGAGGATGTATGGTTTCCAAATGTACGTGGAGAGTTCTGTTTAGACAGTGTAGCACATGGACCTATGTACGTATGGAATCTCCCACGTGGACTTCCCATTAAAGGACCTTCATAAACTCTATGATATGCAATATTCGACATTAACTTGAAAATTATTTGCTGACAAGGGAATGATATTCAATGTTGAGCGAGGAGATAGAGCAATCTGCAATTTATCAAACAAAACATATTGACTTAGTTATTGCTTTTAATACATCTGTCTACTTGAGATTCCTACAGCCCCTTTCTTCGCCACCATAAGGTTCTAAATAGAATTTACCCGATAAGATTTTGTGATAGATATGGTGATGAACATGGTACTATTCTCATACGTGTGATCGGACAGTGTAGAAGCTTTTATTATTGGATGATCACTCGTTAATGTTCCGGGATGATAGTAGCTCTCATCACAGATTCCTGATCATACCGTGAAACATCGTGGTTTAATCTGTTGAAAACTGCATCAAATCAGGCCTACTCACTCTCACGTACATGTAACGATAACGCAGGGATCTGGTTAACGACCACAAAGTCTTGACGATAAAACACGAGTCATGAAAAGTCGAATCTTGAACTTTTTGTATCGTCCCTTCACGTCCTACTACACGTGACAATACTATGGTCTGACACGCTTGTCTTTTGTCACGGCGAGATGTTTATATCATCAACTTTTCAATATTTATCTTGTGATATTGATTAAGACACAAAACCTCGTTACATGACTGACTGACTGAGTATGGTTTTACGCCGTTTTTAGCAATACTCCAGCAATATCACGGCGGGGGACACCAGAAATGGGCTTCACAAATTGTACCCATGTGGGGAATCGAACCCGGGCCTTCGGCGTCGTTACATGAACTCTGCTTAGAGCACAGTGGTAAGTGACACCGCACTGAACAGAGTATATCTGGTATATCTTTCTTTTAAACCAGGAAGGATGGCATTGTATTTCAGAATTGGGCAGATGTTAAACTCACCTCCTTTTTAACATGAAAGGCAGGAGAAACATACGAAAGAAAGAAAATTAATTATTTTATTCGCCAAAAAAAATAACTGACGCCTTGATTAGATCCTAACCCACTGATGCCTGTGAAAGGAAGACCCGTGTATTTACATGGTACCTTTTGGACGAAAGAGGGATCAGTCTTGCGAAAAGGGTTGTGCTGAAGGTTTTAATGTGTGAAAAATGTTCATGGACGGTGCATTATGGGTAGAGGTGGTCAAGACGCTAGACTGCTGTTTCATTACGCCGATGGCGATGGTGAGTTGAAAAATGACTACATTGCCGAGCAGCAAAGTTTAATTTCTCTTCTTGTGACATGAATGCCCTGTTTCGTCAAGTATTGACAATTTTCTCTCACAGCTTTTTGCCACAGCCACAAACTTGCCCCAAAGTCTTTAACATGAAATCCATTCTACAAGAACGAAAGAAAATGTGAAATATGAAAATGTAAAACGTGATCAGTTACTGAGGCTTATGTTGGGGACCTAGCGACAATGTCACTGTCTCCATATTGAATATTCTTAATCTTTCCTTCACTTAAGTATTTTTTACTTGTGTGGAGTTCAAAGACTACGTGATACAATAGAAATACACAGTGTGCAACCTGACATTAAAACCTACATTCTGGGATATTAGTATTTTGTTCTTTTTATGACGCAAAGGGACTGATAAGTTTAACGACTGACCAACCTGTTTGTACATACCTTTCTTGATACCTAACGAGGCCCACATAGGGTCACGATTTCACACGAATACCGACGACATAAGGTCACAACTTGCCTAGGGAGACCACACATGATCACAACATGTCAAGGGAACTAACACAAAGTCACAACGTTGGAAGGAGGCCCACACAAGATCTCAGGAGGCCCACATAGGGTCACAATTTAACACGAATACCGACATAAGGTCACAACTTGCCTAGGGAGACACACATGAACACAACATGTCAAGGGAACTAACACAAAGTCACAACGTTGGAAGGAGGCCAACGCAAGGTCTCAGGAGGCCCACATAGGGTCACAATTTCACACGAATACCGACATAAGGTCACAGCTTGCCTAGGGAGACACACATGAACATAACATGTCAAGGGAACTAGCACAAAGTCACAACGTTGGAAGGAGGCACACGCAAGATTTTAGGAGGCCCGCATAAGGTCACAACTTCAATTAGAGGACAACACAAGGTCACAGCTTGCCAGGGAGACACACTATCTCAGAGAGCCCAACACAAGGTTTCAGTAGGCCACAACTTCAAAAGGAGGCCGACACATGGTCACAACTTGCCAAGGAAACCCACATAAGATCACAGCATGGAAGGAAAACCCACACAAAGTCGCAAGGAGGTTCATACAAGGTCATTACTTCATTACATTTCTATTTGCAAGAATGTCCGTGTGCCGTTGACATGATCTGCCTGTGTGGGTGGATAGGGGTTCAATCTGCTATCTGTTCACTAAAAAAAGTCAAGTATTGCTGTTACCTTGCCATGCGTTCAAAATAGAAATGTATAGATCTAAAACTGCAGACTACGTATCTCACTGGACAAGACGCACGCACGCACGCACGCACGCACGCACGCACGCACCGACCGATATCGTGTATCACTGGGGAAGGCGAGCGCACATAGACGCTGACACACACTCGTCCATTGTGGCAATAACAGACTACTCTCAACTCTATTTCACCTCCACGCGCCACATCCGTATATAGACAAAAAACTGAAAATAAGATTATATTTTTACAGTTTGGAAAAAACATACAAAAGACTTTAATTTTCAATCCTGTCCCCTGAAATAGTTAATTATACATTCCTATGCATATATGGGTTGCTCTTTATAATAAGGCTATATAAATATTATATCTTTTAGATCAAAATGAAATGTTTACAAAATTCTTGAAAGTGAATTAACGGGGAACATATTTTGCACAGAACAGGATTAACTTTGGCCAACGTGTTTCCTTTAAGTACCACAACCTGGGACACTATAAAGTGGTGTGCCTGTCGATATTTTACTATTGCATCATCGGATGGAGGGGACATGTAGAGTGTTAGGTATGGACATACATCACCATGCTTTTGATGTAGACGCATTCCCTGATATGCCAAGACACTAAATCTGACCATCTGATGATTGGTAATGATGAAACATTTCATTACAACGGAACTAAATAACTGACCATTACAAACATCAATCCCCGGGTTTTGACGTTGGTT